AGCACTCAGAGGGTACTGCTCAAACCCTAATCCAGCCCTGGCTGGGTAGCTTAGTTGGTTAGAGCATCGTCCTGATATCACCAAGGTTGTGGGTTCGATCCCCAGTCAGGGCACATACAAGAATCAGCCAGTGAATGCATCAGTAAGTGGAAGAACAAGTTGATGTTTCTCTTTCTCTCTCTCTCTCATCAATAAAAAAAAACAAACCATACAATCGTACTTTCCTCTTTGCCATCACCTGCCTTTGCCCACCTGATTTTCTCCCTGTCTGATGTGGGGTCCTCTCATAACCCCCAAAGACAGCACATCTTTGTGTCTCTGTGCCACGGTGTGGACTGTGCCCTGTCCCCAGAGCATTCTGCCCTTGCTCGTCCTCTCCTGGTCTGCCTGGTGCACACGGCTTCGCCTTCCCAACCCACCGATGGACGGACACCTGTCCTGCCCTACGCCACCCCTCGTCTTCGGAGAGCAACGGCCCGTCTCCGAAGTGGCCAGCGGCGCACGCCGGCGTGTCTCTGTTCTCACCTGTGTTCCAGCGGAGGCTGGGGTCTCTTCCATCCTAAGTCCCAGTGCCTGTCAGGAGGGGACCACAGTGCGGACACTTGATAAAGGCCTTTGACAACAGAGCTCATCTTATTTCAAGGGAATTCACAATGCATCGCTTAGGGTAGGGCACAAAGTTTGCATTATGGAAGAAGGCAAGAATTAACTCCACACGGTCATTGGGATGGTCGGGTGTCTTTCCATCTTAACGACAAAGGGTCCTAGGACACACACTGGATACTTCGGTCTCATCCGGCTCAAGGCCTCTCCCAAACTTCCCCTTCTCCCAGGCTCCCAACGCACCTGAGGGTTGAGCTGGAATCTGATTGGCCAGCATCCATGACAATCACTGTTCTGTGTTTCCCATTGGGTGGGATTAGGAACTTAGGTCAGGAACCCTTTTCTCCCTCCCCCTTGAGGGCCCACTCCGACGTAAGTAGGCTCAGCACTTCAGCCGGCCAGAGCCTCACTCCAGTCCTCTCTTCCTGGCACAGGGCAGGGAGCCCAGGCGAAATAACTGGGCCCAACCCAGCCATCGGCGGTGGGAAAGGCTTTCTCATGCCTGTGACCAGAGGAGACTTCATTGGCTAGGCTCTTTGTAAAGTAGCCGTGACTCCCGATCCACTGTCTTTCTCCTGTGTGTGGAGCCCCCTGGAGTCTCGGGGGGCGGGGGCAGGGGGCGAGGACAGGTAGTGCCCAGGGAGCACCTGGCCATCCCTGCACCTCTGGCCTTGCAGCCCTCGGAAGCACCCACGTCCCATCTTGGTCCCGAATTACTCCTGCATTAATAACGCTGCATTAATAACGCTGAGCGTGTCAGCACCACAGGCCCGGGGCACGAACTAGACCGTGACCCTATGAACCAAGCCCGTAGCTGGCAGTACAGTGGAGGGAAGCAGACCGGAATCCGAGCCCACAGGCCACTTTCTGCAAGATGTTCACCCCAAACACACACTCCCGTAGCCTAAGCAAACATGCCTGGGGCGCCTCTTCAGACCAGGGTGGGTCAGGGTGGGTAGGAGCCTTGTGCGGCCCTTACGAGTGGGGCGGCCCCTGCAGGTAACCACTCCCTGCTCCCTCATGACCTCATTTGCATAACAGGACTGGTGAGAACTTCCGGCCTACCCCAGGGTGTTGCTGGGAGGTACAGATAACATAACGGATGTGGGAATCTATCTGCTGTAAATTGCCGAGTGCCACGTAAATGAAAAAAAAAAATGATCTAGAATTCCTAAGTAAAAGGAAGAAAACTAAAGGTAATAGAATTGACTTCTCAGATGTGGCTTTTAGTAAAGCAGAGAGTCCCTCGTTTCCTGTGTGCCTGTCAGCCCCAGGCAGGATACCTTGGTTTACCTCCTCCTTTAGGGCCACCAGCAGGTCCACTGTGCAGGTGAGGACACCGAGTCCGAGCAGGATCGAGTGACTTGTTAGGAGTCACCCAGGTCGTGAGTGACAGAGTCCAGAGTCAAGTCCACTCACTCCCAGGTACCTGTACTCTCCACTGGGGACCGATGGAGACGCCGGATGGGAGGGCGGGGCTGTCCACTCAGAACTTGCTCTTGCAGGAAGTCAGAGCCGTCTCTTGTGATTTGGCAGAGACTTGAAGGCGAGGAGCAGGCCGGCTTTACAGGGAGGGCGTCCAGCATGCCCTGCGAGCGGCTGGTGGCCGGGGAAGCTGGAGGCGGGTGGGGGGTTAGGAGCAGGTGGCCCCCGTGATCGGGCAGGGGAGTATTCCGAACTTTCTCTGGGCGGCCCCCGGTTGGAAGCAGGGGCAGAAGGTGGGGAAGGTGCCAGTTACCGACCCAGTCCTGGCCGTTTGGAGTGGATTGTTACAGCGGTGATTGCTCGGCTTCCGGGATCGGTACGACCAGACAGAGCAGCCTGGCCGCCTTCCAGTCTGACTTACAGATACATTAACATGGACCCAATGCCCACAGCGAACCTAAGAGGCAGGGATTACTTGTACCCATTTGACAGATGGGGAGACGAATCTCCGAAAGACGTGGCAGCTTGTCCCGCCCGCACCACTTAGATGGTAAGAGGGGTCCTGGGATCAGAGGCAAGTGCCTGTAGCCACAGAGCTCCGTGTCTTCACTCCCAGTCCCACTGCGCCCTCTGGGGGCGCAGTGACTGGTGGGCGTGCCCTTCCTCCGCATGCTTGGGGTGTCATGGGAGCTTTCTCCGGGGGGTTGAACATCTTCCGCTTCTTCTTGCCCCGAGGGTCCCCCAGGCTTGTGCCGTGCGCTGCGTATGAACCAGCAGTGGTCACAGAACCGGACCCTGATGTCTGAGAGTCTCTGGCCTTCCCAGTGCTGGACGGGGACTGCGCCCGAAGGACCCTGGCCTTCCCTGCGTCCCTTGACCCAGCGAGAGCACACGCCAGAGGGAAACGAGGAGTGAGGCAGAGTCAGACAGGGAGCTGGGACTTCCGGTGAAGATTCGTTGCCAAATAGAAGTGGACGCTGTGCATTCCGTCTCCTCGGTGGCCAGGAAATCTGCAGCTGTAGCTCTGGAGCGGTCTGTTTCCTCCGCTCAGGCCCCGCCTCCCCCAGAGCTCAGCCAGTGCAGGTTTAGAGAGCAAATTAAGGAGTCGAGAGATCCCAGCGATGAACTTCTAAAAAGTCAGGATAGATGACCTGGATGCACATCTGTATACGCATGTCCTAAGCCTCAGTTTTCTCCTCTGAAAAATGGGAGTAACAGCATTTCCCAAGCACAGCTGGGAGGCGAAAAAAGGTGGTGCCGGGCGGGCACTGGAAATCTCAGGGGGAACACTTTGTAGAGTAAATGGTCGTCTAACCACTGTGCCGTACATGTGAAACCAATACAATACTGACAGTAAACTGTAATTGAAAAAAAAAAGTGTTTGAAGATATTGGACAGCGCTGGAAATAGTATCTGAAGAAAACCAATCAGCTGCTTCTCTGCTTCTTAGTGTGTACAACATGCCAGGCATCGGCCTCAAAGCTCAGGGCCTGGGTCCTCGTGACAGACACGCGGGGCAGGGGGGCCCTGTCACTGTTCCCATTCCGCAGCGGGGGAGCCCGAGGCCCCCAGAGACGACACCATCTGCCCAAGGCTGAGCCGGGGGTGAGCGGCAGCGCTGGGACTGCAGCCCAGACCTCCCCGCTCCACGGAGGAGGCCCCTAAGACTCCTCGCTGTAACGGGCCCAGAGGTGAGGGACTGGAGCAAACTGCTCGCTCCCAGGGACAGACGGACATTTCAGCTCCTCCTGGCTGCTCAGCCTTGCTCCGAGGAGAGGCCTGGAGGAAGCCTCAGAAAGCCGACGCATGAATGTGGCACGGACGGAGTCTGTTAACCAAGCCGGTACGAGCGTGGGTGCAGCCCCGCCCCCTTCCTCCCACGGCAGCTCAGATCAGAAGGAGGCAGCTCAGATCAGAAGGAACGCCAGCCCGGGGCTGACCTGCCAACCCTTGGACGGCTGACCGGGCCGCAGGGGGGGCACGGAAGCTGCCCTTCTGATGAGCCCCACCAGCCGGAGACCAAACCAGGGCTGCGGGCCAGGCGGGGCAGCACCCAGCTGCTCAGCCGGCTCACGTGCACAGAGAGCTGCGATGGCAGAAGGGGCACCAGGATGAGGCTCCGCGAGCTTCCTCAGCGTTTCCCACACTTTCATCAGCCCGCCGCTCCCCGTGTCCCCAGACGAGCTGGTCGGAGGAGGGCTCCCACCCTCTGCCCTCTGATTTCTGAAATGTGCCGTGGCTCCTCAGGCTTCCGCCAGCGCCTGGGGGCGCGGTCTCTGCTCTGAAGGAAGTCAGGCCCAGAGGCCCGGACCCCAGTGCCGCTCCAGGGCCTAATCAGAGTTTCCAGGGAGGCAGTTAGAGGAGCGTTACCCTGAGCGTCCCGCCCCAGCTGCTGCGCGCAGCTCGACTTTGGCCACTTTGTCCCCACCCACCGTGGGCCTCTATGTTCCTGTGTCTAACTCCAGGGGACTCGAACTAGTTCAAGGACGGAAACCTGAGGCATCCCTATGTTCCCCGCCTCCTCTCCCCAAAGCACACACAGCCAACAGGTTGCAGCGTTCTTTCCCACCGGGGCCAGGACCCTGCCTCAGAATCCTTCTTAACACGGAACTCCAAGCAACTACGACCGATAAGTCAGAGTTGGCCTGCAAGAGAAAACCCGGTTGCCGTCCTAGGACGCGATCTGGGAGGTGCCCCTTAGCTCTAAAGACCTGTCCTTCTTGCCTGCATACCCAGAGGGCACTGAGTGACTCCACCCACCACTCTGATTTCTTTTCTCTGATTTCCCCTGGGCTCCCTGGGCCTTGGTGGCGAACTTGGGGCTGTGTTTAAGAGGCAGAGGACAGACGGCCTCATGGGACCAGCTCAGCCGCAGGATCGGGCTGTGAGGAACCTGTCTCTGGCAGCCGCCCAGCCAGTCCCGCTGGGTGTGGCGACGAGACTACCCAGGAGAAGCACACGCCACGAGCATCTTACCACTTGCTTTCTTTATTTTTCTCATTCTTCCCAGGTCAGTGAGGCAGCAACAGTAACAAAAAGTGAGACAGATTTTCTCGCATGGCAATTCCGTAACCCCTCGTGAACCGACGCTCCACAGATACTGGTTCTAAGAGCCTTTCATCACATTCAGTGTGAGCTGGAAGGCCTGGTACCCCGTGCATGGGGTGCATGGGAAGTTCCTGCCGTCGAGACGTCAGGCAGTTTAGGAGAGCTCACTTCCGTGGGCGGGGGGGACCGTCTGGGGCAGAGAGGGCCACAGGTCAGCCTGCCTTCTCTTTCCACGTCCCAGCAGCTCACAGAGGGGCCGGACTACAGACGTGGTTCCTTAGGAGGCTGGCACCTCCTGCCGGTACCACCCAAGGAGCCCCCAGGGCTACTGGACCAGCAGGAAATGTGGGGGTTCTCTGCAAACCCAGTAGGCATGCAACCAGCCCCCGGGAGTGCCTGCTGCCCAACCATCACTCTTGAATTGTTTCAGCCATCCTCCCCTGCCGTGAGCATGACACTCCTTTGTTGAAAGGGAAATAGATGGACTCAGGAGGCCGCCCGCCTGATGAGCACTTGGCAATGCCTCTATTGTCGACAACAGCACAACTGAATTGCAGCAGCTTGGGATGTCCTGGGGCCAGAGAGGGTGGATTGTCTCAGAAGGCCCGTGAACATCTCGAAGGGTGACACTGGGGACAGCAGGGCCCCTGGCACGCAGCAATTTCAGCCACGCACGCACGTCACAGATGCTCAGGGCATCCGCTGTCACGCGAACAGGGGAGGCGCGGGAATCCCCTCCTGCCCAGCCAGGAGCCCCCGAGCAGGCCAGCTCTTCTCTCTCTCTCTCTCTCTCTCTCTCTCTCTGATTCTGCTTGACTTGCTGAATTCGCTCCCTCCCACCAGCCTTTCTCTGCTGCCCTGCCCAAGTTATTTGGATACATGGGAACAAAGGAAAGAAAAGACCCCAAGCCTCCAGCCCTCCCCTGGGGAACGGACTTGCAGCACATACACTCCCCCAGGCCTTCTGGGGTTACAGAGTGGACAACGACGGGGAGGGCGTCCTCTGTGGAGCTATGACCAGGGGTGGTTCCATCTGCCGGGGTCTGGACGCAGCTCCGGCGTCGGGAGGTCACCCGCGCTGCCGCCGCTTCCGCCCCCGCAGCTTCAGCTGCCGGGCCGGCAGGCTGGCGCGCTGCTTCCCGAACTTCTCCATGATCTCCCGGATCCTGGCCAGGTTGGTTTTGCTGAGCGCGAAGTCGCACCGGGTGGCGCCCATGTCGTAGCCGACCATGCAGTTCTTGGTGGACGAGGTGAAGCCTTCCGCCTTGGCCGTGACCACGTACTCCCCGGGGTTCAGGAGGCGCCAGTAATCCCCGTCGTTGGCTGTGAAGAGAAGAAGGCAGGGGAGTTCGGAGCCGTTCTGGCCCAACTCAGACAGCCCTGTTATTTCAAGACCAGAGACAGACTCAGCGGCAGGCTGTGGGGGCGCCAGGCTCCCGCGGGCGCAGATTTTTAATGTATTTTGGAAGCCGAGATGCTTTCCTCTTTGGAAGCCCCCTTAATGGTTTTAACAGGCAGGGGGTTGGGGGGCAGGCTCCCCGCAGTGTTAATACACACGAGCGGAGCTGGAGAAATGATCACCAACACCCCGTCCGCCGTGACAATACGTGCCATTCACTGTGAACTTGAGCTTCCACGCGGCGTGCCCCCACCACACAATGCCACCCTGAAAAGCCATCAGTGCCCAGCTTTGGGGCTCTCCTTAGCACAGCTACAAATACAGGACAGCAGTCGAGGGGTGGGGCTCCTCCTTTCTGAGAAGGGAAGGGAAGGACGACATGGGACAAGGGCCAAGGACCTGGGCGGAGGCCCTGGTACACACACCTCATTCCACGGCTGTTTCCGTGTCCCGGGTCCCAGGGAGACTTGGAGCTGCAAGGCTGGCTGCCCGCCTGCCCACTGCCCCCCAACCCCCACCCCCCGTTACACTGCCGGTCAGCTACCCAGCAAGCACTTCATGAGATCTATGTCCATCCTTAGCTCTAGGTTAGATCCCTGTTGCATAAAGCAGGGGTCTAGGCCAAGGCCACGCCTTGCCGGGAGCCTCCAACCTGCTGGGAACACAGACCCCTGACACGAAAAAGGCTGCGAGATGGAGCAGGAGACGCAGCGACCCCTGCAGAGAACGCAGCACACGGGCAAGGCCCACGCTGACCCGCTGACCCCCCGAGCGGAACTCTGGTGTAGGTGGTACGAGGGCTCCTCCCCTACGTGAGCGACTGGATGCCCAGGGAGGTGCCATGTCCCGCACAAGGTCGCACAGCTAGTGATTGGCAGGTCTTCCAGCCGCAGGTGGGGGCGCCCCTCTCAGAACGGTCTGAGTGTCCTGCCCGGTGTAAGCCCCCGTGCCGGGCGAGAAGAGCGAGGGCGGGGTCTGAGGAAGTGCTGAGTCAGCCCTAAGGCGCGGAAGGGAACTGTGTACACGTGTGTGAATACACACCCCCCTGCACACACACAGACATAGATAACACTCGGAAGCGTCGTGTCTGAGTTCACGTTACCACCGTGATTCACCGGAGGCTGCCCACGCGATGTGAGCTCACGAGACCCCCAGACGCTAAGGAAAATGAATGACGTCCATCGGCGGTTTGTCCTGGGCTTGCACAGCCCGCTCTCCGGTAAACCGGGCTCAGCAGGGGAGCCTGGGAGCGCCGCCACCTGGGGGCGGGGGGTCCCTGGTCTTTCTGCGCCCCGGGCCTTCCTTTCGTGAAAATGCACAGTTTCCCACGAAATCGAACGCCGTTTCAGGGCTTTTCAGGAGGCAAGGGCCCGTGGAGCAGCCTTCGTCTTGTGCCAGACGGCCTGTGCTTCCCAGTACGGCTCCCCCTTTGGGGACGTCTCTCGGGAGCCCTACGGCTCCCGGGGACACTGAGGGAGCCAGCCCTGCTCACGTCACGTGTCCTCCTGGCCGGCTGGACTGTGGGCCCTCCTCTTCCTGCCCTCGCCCTGGGTCAGGGTGTGGCCACCACCCTCTCCTTCTCCTGCTCTTAACAGTGTGTTTTCCCCATGGTGCACCCTCCATTAATGCCCGTCCCACTTAGTGGGAGGAAGACAAATACGGGGACATAAACCAGAATGTCTCATGAACACGAGAAGCCGGACACCTTCGGTCTCAGCTACTGCTGGGTAACCGCCGCACGGAGTGATCGGGTCGGCCTGGGGGTGTGCGGGCCGTAGAGCTGCAGGGGCAGCCAGCAGCACACAGCTGGCACCATGCACACAGCGGCCAGAAGGGCCAGCCCAGGCCCCTCCTTTCCACAGCAGGTCAGTTAGTGTCCACCCAGCAAGGGGCAGTCGCACGGCACTCGGAGCCTCCTGGTACTTGGCCAACCTATTTACGTGCATTTGGAAAGCATTCTTACCGGCTTCTCTCTGTAGAGTCCCATTGAACACTCCTATTTATTTTACACAAAATCCCTCCTGGAATAAAACTTGTCGGATCACATCAGCATCAGACAGAAGCCCAGGCAAGCCCAGAGCCGACACCGAGCACCGAAAGACGCTGCAATGAACACGGGAAAGCGTCGTGCGTCAAGTGTGGAAGCCAGTGACGTGAGAGCAACACTGGGAAGTTATTTATGGGGGAAATAAAGGCGGAGGGAGATGCAATTCCCATTAGGGCATCAGAACTGTCTCCTTGATCACAGGGGCTTGAAACCCAGAGCTCATTAGGCAAAGTGCTCTCTGCAGACGCGCGGGGGGCCCCGGGGCCTTTTTCTCTCTCACTCGATTTAAAACCCTCGTGTTTTCTCGCAGTGCGTACACGGCACTGATCGCCCAAGGAATGTTCCAGGCTCTTTATGAGTCCCTCTTTTAAAGGGGCTCATTAGCAAGGTTTAAAATACAGTCCTAGGCAGAGCAGATCAAACAGCCCCTTTCACTCATGAGGTCTGTCATCACCTGGAAGGTCGCTGGTCCATTAAGAGTTCGAAATCCCATTGGCTGGCTGAATGAATGGATGAATGAATGACCAGTAGGGGTTACTATGTACCTAATGCCATGCTGCACTGCATGAAAACACCGTCCAGTGAAGAAAGAGGAAAACTACAAGAAAAACGGTGATGCAGGGCGTCACCCAGCAGTTGACCACTTTGCGGCATGTCAGGGTACATCCCACCCATTGTCACAGCCGTTGGCCTTCTATGCCAGGCACGTGGGCAGGCAGCCTGGCATTGAGGGACACACGTCAGGTCTGAATTCCAGCCTCAGCCCATCCTGGTGCCCCAGGCTCTCCTCTTCCTGGTAGGTCAAATGGGGCGACTGGTGGGGGGGCCAGGGTCAGTTAACACAGGTGAACGGTTTTGGGGGGGAGGCCCCTCCTCCCCGCCAGGAGGAGAAGCATGGGGCATGGGCGGGGCCCCTGCACTGGCTCGCCCATTTGATGTGCGCTCTGGGAAGCAGCCTGTAATGTCCACTCATTCATCCGGACACTCCCGGAACACGGGTGTCTCCCGCGCAGAAAGTCCGCACACACGTGCGGCTACCTGTTCGGATGTCGTGGCTGATGCCTTCCACGGAGATGACGGCGTCCGGGATTCCTCTTCCGTGTAAATCCCTCACCACGCCTTTGATGCCGCGATGAACCTGCCCGGCAAACAGGACGAGACGCCGGGTGAGCGCACCAGCGCGCCCCGCCCGACCCGCGCGGTGAGGACAGCGAACGCCAGCCCAGTGCCGCCAGGGGCGCCCACGAGGCCACGCCGAGCTCGGGAACCCCCTGGCGCTGCGTGGGTTTGGTGTGCGCACACTTCTGGATCCCTTCTGGGTCCCCGCACCAGAAGTCTTCCACAGGAGGGAAAGCGTCTCAGAGGCTTAAACAATATTAGGATCTGAGATCGTTTAATTTAAAAAACCCACTAAAAATGGAGTTTTTGCACTCACAAGTTATTTTCATGTTGCTGTATGGATGGACTTAATGTTATAAACAGGCAAGCGTCAGAGCGGAGGGAAGAGCCGGACTTGGCTGTGCACGGCAGCTCGGTCTACAGGGCCCTTCCCGATTAGCCGTGTGGCACAGCACAGCGACTCTGGACCCCGTGCCTCAGTTTCCCCTCTGTAGTGAGACGTGACACTCCAAGACGCCATGCCAGCTGCCAAGCTGAGGAGAGAGGCCCCCGAGGGAAACCGGCCTGCAGGCCCCTTAATCTTGGACTTGTCGCCTCCGGGACTGTAGGTTCTGTGGTCTAGGCCCCCAGCTGGACACTGTGTCGTGCAGCCCCAGCTGACGAGTATGAGGAGCCCAGACACGTCACCTCCCTCCCCACGGAGCAGCATCTGAAAACCCCGGACCAGTCTCACCCGCCATGAGCCAGTGGGAGCGATCAGCTCGGACTTAGAGCTCACTTGCTCGAGCCCAAACAAGTGCAAACAGAGATGGTCCCTCCCACACTGGAGTGACTGGCCCAGGGTGATGGTGGCCCAGGATGATGGTGGCCCAGGACCGTGGAGACCAGGACCATGGAGCCCAGGACCGTGGACCCCAGGACCAGGGAGCCCAGGACCATGGAGATCAGGACCGTGGAGCCCAGGACCATGGAGCCCAGGACTGTGGAGCCCAGGACCATGGAGCCCAGGATGATGGAGCCCAGGATGATGGAGCCCCGGGTGATGGCGGCCCGGGCCATGGCCACACCAATTTGATCCCTCACTTTCCGCCACCTCAGGGGCCTCATCCCCTAGCCAACTCCCCATCACAGCGTGGGCCCACGCCATACCTGCTCCATGAACACGATTAAGGATTCCCGATTATTCTCCCATTCCTCGGGCAGCTGGCTCTCGTGCGGGAATTTGTCACAGCCCACGTAGATGGACAGCTCGAAGCAGTTTGTGTGAAGGTAGCTGAAATCGTTGAGACCTGCAAGCCAACCAGACGGCACGTAACCGGACAAGGCTCCAAGCGTCACTGGAGGGACAGCAAGGACACGCTAGACTATGAATTAGAAGATGTCATTTGAACAAGGAGGTATCGCGTGTCCACTATAGACAAAAAGTTAATTACAGCAAGTGCCGGAGACAGGTCTGGAGTGTCAGGGGGTGGGGGGGATGCAGCTGGAAGGGTTTATGGGGGGGCAGGCACCTACGCAAGCACCTTGGACCAAAGGAGAACAGAAGTCACTGCTTTTCCAATAAAATCCTCTTCTTTCATGAAACTCAGCTTAAGACTACTTTTAGAATATGGGTATCATTAACCAACAGCAAAGATGTTTAGTATTCAATTAAATTTACCTCTGTAATGATGCTGCTCTCAGCCACCGCTTTGGAACGGTTTCCTACCCTAACTCATAAAGGCGGCTGCGCCGTCCAGCACTACCTGAGCGCCCGACGTGAGCCAGGACCTAGCCCTCCACAGCCTTCTCCCCTGAATCTGAGGTCACTGAATCTTCTCCACAAACCGGCAGAGAGGCAGGCAGCATAGCACCATTTTACAAATAAGAAAACCAGGGCAGAGAACAGGTAAGAAATATGTGCATATTGTGTGTCTGGAAAGGGCGAGAGCCAGGGCTGGAAGCCAGCTGTGCTGCGGCGGGGCAGGGAGGGGCGGCAGGGCAAAGGCACCCGCCACGCCCCAAGGCGGACCAGCCCGCGCACCCTCACACCACCACCACCTTCACGCCACCAGGTGTGAAGGGCCCAGCCTGACACGGGACTGGGCCCTGTGTTCATCTCTCAGGGCCACTGTTACCAAGGACCACAACCAGGGGACCTAAAACAACAGGATTTGATCTTCCTGTAGGTCCAGAGGCCAGCACTCCGAGGTCAAGGTGTTATCAGGGCTGTGGCCCCTCCAAAAGCTCTCGGGGAAGACCCTTCCTGCCAGTTCTAGCGTCTGGCAGTCCCCGGCGTGCCTTGGCTTCTGGCTGCGTGGCTCCAGTCTCTGCCTCTGTGCTCACACGGCCCTCTCCTCCGTGGCCACGTTTCCTCCTCTTCTGTTGTTTGTAAGGACATTTGTCAGGGATTTTAGGGCCTGTCCAGGCGACCCAGAATGACCTTGTCATGAGATCATTAAATTGATTGCACCTGCAAAAGGCCAGTTCCCAAATAAGGTCACATTCCTGTGTTCGGGAGGTCAGCAGGTAAACATATGTTTGGGGGGGGCTACTGGTCAACCCACTACCACACCCAACACTTGGAAAAAGGACAAATGAATGTCGGATGGCACAGAGTCCCAGGGGCTCCCCTAAGGTTTTTGTTTTGGGAGAGTGGGGTGATTAACAAGGACTCGGTGCGGTGACGTTCCACGTGGTCACCCGGAAGCCCACCCAGCCTCTGGGCGGCTCCGAGGGTCACAGGGGTCAGGGGCGCAGGCAGCAGACCCGGCGGGCTGTGTTTCTCTGCGCTGACGGAGAGCAAGAGCAGGTCCTCCCGCGCCCTGACCGGTCCCGGTCCTCCCCTGTCCTGTCTTCGCTGCCTCCGCACCTGGCTCACCACAACGCCAAGTGACGCATCGCGCGGTGTGAGCGTGCGGTTAAGAAGCATGGCTCTGGACGTCAAGAGCAATTCTGCATCAACCTGCTGCCTACTCCCTGAAGTCACCGGCAACATGGTACAAAACATACGGTGCCTCTCTCGACCGATTCCAGATTCAAACCGTTCACGTGTCCTCAGTCACAACATGTGTGACAAACAAGGAGAACACGAGGGCTGTGGAGTACGAGTGGGATGGTGTCAAGTTCACAGAAAATCCTCCGCAGGGGCCTGGTCTGGTGGAAGAAGGTTGGTGCAAAGGCCAGGTCCACTCACTCAGCTGCACCCCGACTCTGGAGTTACAGACGACACCAGGAGGCCGGCCAGCAGCCGGGGCGGGCAAGGTACTGGGGTGTGACCCAGACAGTTCTTCCTGAGCCATCCGCCCTACCTGGGGACCACGAGGCCCTCCGGGTGTTCTCCCCTGGCCCAGAGCCCTGGTCCAGTCACGAGCTCCCACACAGGGCCCAGAGCTCACGTGGGGCACCCAGCACTATCAGGAAGGACACCTGCCTTCCCTGTGGGGGAGGGAGCAGGAATAAACAGGGTCTCACGTCGCCTTGGAGTTAAGAAGCACACGGCACAAACAGTGTGCATTTGGAGGTGCCCAGAGCTCCACTCTCCGTGAACTAACGCTCATCAGCACCGTGCTAACGAGTGAGCGAGATCTGAGCGGAGAGAGGCGGCGGAGGCGGAGGGGGAGGGGGAGGCGAGGAAATGAGAAATCACATTTCATTAATCCACGCAGAAATGAATCTGCGGGCTCCATCACACCGCCAGGAGGATGATTAAAGAGGCCGGAGCTGCCACGTGGCTCTGCCACAGAAGTCCCTGAAATCATGGGAACTAGAATTGATAGGAGAAAAATTAAATGCCACTGACGTGACCGTGCGGCAGCCGACTGTTGAGAACGTCAACAGGGACGCGGCTGTGCCCGCGCCGAATTCGTCACAGCGACCAGAAAAGCAAGCACACTTTCCACGTAAAGATTATGACAGGCTTTGGGGGCTGGAATTGAAAAGCAAGAAGGCTTTTTGATCGTTAGGAAATTTTCTGGATAGAGAGGGATTTGAATTTTATTTTTTTTAATTTCATGCGGAGCAAAACCGTGACAGAGATCAATGAGACGCCTCTGCTTGGGGGTGGCCACCCAAAACGGCGAGCGTCCATGTTCTAAAACGGCCACAGAAACAACTACTTCTGCTGCTTTTTATTTTCCTTTTTTTGAGGGTGGGAGCGCACCTGAAAGGTACGTGAAGGCCAGGTCTCCCGCAAAACAAGGTGAACGTTGGCTGGCGCGGTGAAACAGAGGAGGACCGGCACGCTCCTGAAGGAGGGCCCGTGGGTTACGCGGGGCGGGGACTCGCCACGGCTGAGCGCCCCCGATAAACCAGACCTGGGACAAACGCCGGTCTCTCACCCACACCGTCCTCACAACGGTCCCAGAGGGAGCGCCATGGCCATGGTCATCGTGCCCGTTTCACACATGAAAGACGTGGGGGTCCAGAGAGGTGAAGAAACTTGCCCGGGGCCACACAGCATGCAGCTGATGAGCCAGAATTCGAATCCAGGCCTCTCTGACACAGGGATAGTTTTCAAATGCATCCGTGGCTTGGCCGCCCCTCACCAAGGCAAGGGAATGAGCGATGAACAATACGCCTGGGGTCCCGCCACCCCCATAGAGGGGGACCCCATAGAGGGGGACCTCAGGAAGTGTGATGTTGCCTTCCCTCCTCAGTGGGGAGCCTGGGCCAGGCACCAGCACTCATCCTGAAACTGGGACCGGGGTCTCTGTGGGAAGCCTGGGGTCCTGCGTGGGTGCCGGCAGCCACGTCACGTGTGCCCCCCGCGGCGCTCATCCAGGCTCCCGCCGGATGCCATGGGACGGCAGGGCTGACCTCCGTGGGCGGGAGATCCGTGAAGCAGTCTCCCCCACCTGTCGGGCTCAGAGCCACTCCACGCCCGAGCGTGGGATCCTCTCCGGCCCCCTCCGCAGGTCGCAGCACGTGACGTCCTCCGCGACGGGAGCAGCTCCCGCACGCCCTCCGCCCCTCTGCTGGGTTTGCTGTTTGGTCAGATACCCCCCCGAGTCCACATTCACCCACCTCTGACCCTACAAAGTCCGACATGCTCGGTGGCGAAGGGCAGGCCGAGGAGTCCAACAGGCCCCAGCTCTGCCCCTTTCTCGCCGAGGCGGCAGACCCCCCTTCCAGCGCCCAAGCCCTGGTCATGTATAACATGGGAACCAGCCATGCCCATCCAAGACCAGGAAGGGTGAGAGGGGAGGTTCCGCTGCAGAGGGCTGGGACCTTTCCGGGGCTAACTAGGGGAGCTAGTGTTCTAATAATAACGCTAACAGTAGGGATAGGAGGAGGTGGCCCGCGGGTCCCTCCCCACCCCTGTGGTCCATTATCGCCTGCCCTCCCCGCCCCCCGACGAGAGCCAGACCGTCAGAGACTTACTTCCGGCCACAGTGTGCCAGGAGGCCCCGTTGACAGTTCCATCCTCCTTCTGGAAGTCCTCCGTATGGCACACCCTCCTCCTGGCGTCGGTCATGAGGCGGTGCGTGGAGGCGTAGGAGTAGGCCAGCCAGCGGAACACGTGGTCGTCCGGGGTGGGCGTGCGCTCCTGCGTCCTCCACAGGGACCGCACCATGTCGTAGGGGTACGCCACCACCAGCTCGCCCCCCTGCAGGTTGCCGCCCAGCACGAAGGGGATCTTTTCCATCCAGGCTATGACGGCCCTGGTCTCCACCGCCACCTGCGAACATCCCAAGCGAACCACGCTTTGAGGATTCCAACGAGAAGGAAACCGCTTCTTCTCCCCAGCTTTCCAAACAGGGGCAAGGTTGAAAAGGCAATGATTTCACAGAGGAATCTGAGCAAAATTTCGAGTTTCAAAATCTGTCCTGAATGAACTGGACTTTGTAGAAATAATGGCTTTACAAAAGAGAAATCCGGGGAATTTTGCTTTCATAGGAAGATGGAAGCCACTGACACAGAGGGAAGGGTGGGGTCAGCGTGCTGACGTGCTGAGCTCCGGGGACACCGGGTGGCAGGCCTCCACCACGGGCCGCTGGCAGCCCAGACGCAGACACAACCACACACCCTGCGTCTCCTGATGGAAGAGCACGGCCTCCAATGTATCGACCCTGAGTCAGGCCAAACCCTCCATCCAGACCGTTTCTGTAAAGAACCAGGCACTCCATACGCATCTGAGACTTTGCAGGCCACACAGTCTGTGTCCCGAGGACTCAGCTCTGCGGGGAAGCCCCGTAGACGACGGGCAGATGAAAGAAGGAGGCGGGGTTCCACGAACACACCGTTTACAGAAGCGGACCTGGGGGGCGTGGCCTGCGGGCTGGCGCTTGCCAACCTCTGTTCTAATTAGTCTAGTCTGGTCTGGATTCACTGCCCGTTTACAAGGAACAGGGGAATATGTTACAGGGCCTCACAAGAATACAATTAGCTGAGCCCAGACAGGGGGAAATGCTACAAGACAGTCTAGCTGCTTCTAACCTCACCGTTACAAGGTCGACAGCAATACAATTGCAAGGGGAAAAAGAAATCGGTAGAGGAGAAATCTGTCATTTAAATAAGACTTAAAAAGACAATAAACTAATCAAAATGAGTGGGCTTTTTCGGATCCTGCTTTAAATGAGCTGAGAGAGACAGAATGATGATAACAAAATGTAAAGACTAGCTGGATATGTTATAATATCAGGACATAATTTCTTTGTAGATGACAATAGTAATAATTTCCAGTTTTAAAAGAGGGTCCCGTCTTTTAGAGATAGAAAGTATTTCTATCTCTACCAGTATTTACCAGTGCAATGATACTGCGCCTGGCGTTTGCTTCAATAACCTCGGAGGGGGAGGAGAAAGCGGGGGAAGGGAGGAAGGGCCCTGGCGCTGTTAGAAACCAGAATTGGGAAGCTTGATATGGTCCCACACTGACCGCTGATTGAGATGCTAGCCATCAGTTACTGACCCCTATGAAGGCAATTCCAGTAGAATGAAATCCATAATGAAAAACAAACACTGGAAATAATTGCAGTGAGCTTGCAGCCTGCTTGCCTGAAATGTACCATTTCCCACCCTTCCCTGCAGTGGGCTGATGTCGTCTTTGGACTAAATTCTGACCGATGAGAGTTAAGCAGAAGTATTATGTTGGAACTTGAGGAATGCCTCTTCCTGTTATTGCATTATCTGGGAGGAGGGCTTTTTTCCAACCCTGTCTCTCCCCTCCCTGCACAGACAGGACAGCTGGGGCACCCTCGGCTGCCTTGGAGCATGACTCTGGGGATGAAAGTCACCTGCTAACAAGGTGGCAGCAGAAAGATGGGTGAGTCCCTGGTTCTGGATGACCGTGGGCCAGCCATATACCATCCGCCACCAGAGTCCTTTTATGTGAAAAAAAAGAAATAAACTTCTACCTCGTTCCGCCACTGTTACTTGTTTTTCTCTGTAGTTGCCACTGAACCTCGCCCTGACTCATAGAGACATTCAAAGACCAGGGACAAAGACCAGGGGCAAGGAAGGCAATACAAGGGCAGAGATTCTATGAAAATTGTTTCTTCTACAACATACGCTTTGTGAAACTCGCCCTAAGGACTTTGGGGGCAACATTTCTCACCCAATTGCATTTTTCCTTCCAAAGAAGCATCCTATGTAATAAACCCATAGGGAGTTATTCAAATAAAAATAAGGTATCTCCAGCAATCCGCGAGGACCAAGGACAATGTCACAGCAGAACCGCGGAAGGCGGGGGCATAATGGTAGTTGCAAACGTGCAAATTGGGGATTTTTTTAAAGCACCATGTTCTTACAAAGGACTAGAACTACACGGTTTTTAATAAAGAATCTTCTAAAATATCAACTTGGAAGGTATTTTATTATCTAGCAATCCAGCACACGTCCCTACTTTTGGAGAAAACTCATACGAGAAGCAGTGGTTTTGTCCCGTCCTCTGCAGACGCCAGTGGGCATGCGCTCCGGCCTCCCAGCCCTCCGGACTACAGGCGGTCTGCTCACCGTGGCGTTCTCAGACAGGAACCACTCGGGGATGGCGATGTGGTGGTTGGGGACCTTCCTTGGGGCATTCTGGCGGTCCTCCGTCTCCCAGAGCAGCGTGTTTAAGTCAGGAAAGTTGTTGTTGATGTCGATGCCGTCGTGGGTCCAGCGTCCCAGGGACCAGCCTCCCAGCTCCGAGCCCTGGGAGATAACTCGGAGTGAGAGGAGCCCACAGACCGCTGGCCGGTGCCAACGCCGCCACACGCAGGACGCCCCCATCACCAGCCCCAAGCTGTGTCTCCAAGTCTATGCACACTCTCCCACCCAGAGGCGGATCCAGAGCAGGATATGGAGAAGCCTTCTAATCACACTTGGTGGGTGATGGTGGATGATACAGCCAAATCACTCCCCAGAGAGGGACTCCTGCCACGGGGCGGTGCTCAGAAAGTAGGAGGTCCCTCCTTCCCCCTCTCATCGCCCCTGAGAACGTCTACCCTGCTCAGGTGGAACACCGAGTGGTAATGAACCTGAGAGCACGTCACTGCAAAATTAACAGCCTTCCTGTCCGGCCCGCAATCCTGGTTCACAAACCCCCAACCGGGGAGTGTTTATTTGTATCAATAAACACAACCAAAATTCTGGATCGTAAGGCGTGCACTTGATAGGTAGCATTATTTTAAGCACAGTTTTCCATTTTATTCCCAGGTAACCCTGACTCGATTCTATACGTAATTCTATGCATAACTGTCACCTATAAAAACGCTACATTGTGCTCAGAACATGAAATATAAACAACATATCAGAACACCAGAATGACTCTCCTCAGGAGACTGAGGAGAGGTTTGCAAGGAGCAGTCAAGGCCGGGGCCCGCCTGGGCCAAGTGCTGACGCCATCACGCTACCCTACCATGACCACTGTATTCGCAACAGTGATGGTCACGCTCGCTTTCTCCAGTCTGCTGACGTGCGCTCCTGAGAGCCCCTGTCATTCTCAGTGCCAGCCTGTGTCTTTTATAACCTGTGGGGTCCCTGCCTCAGCAGCAAGACTCAACAAGGAAGCTTCAAGTATGGGTTGCTTATTATTATTATTATTATTATTATTATTATTATTATTATTATTATTATTATTATTATTATTATTATTATTGTCAGAGGGGGCGGGAAACATCTATTTGTTCCACTTATGGATGCATTCATTGGCCAATTCTTGCATGCACCCTGACCAGGGACTGAACCCACAACCTTAGTGTATCTGGACGACACTCGAACCAACTGAGAGCTACCCGGCCAGGGCCCTAGGGTGGACTTCAACTCCTGGCCAAGCGCACTGTGCATCAGGGGCCCAGCTGTGGCGTCAGGCAGGGGCACAGGGCCATTACCCCTTCGTAGGCCTTCTCGTAGCCGTCGGGGTTCAGGGAGGGCACGATGTGGATGCGGGTCTCCTCCACCAGGCGGACCACGCGCGCGTTGCCAGCCAGGTACTCCTGGCAGAGGAACTGCACCAGCAGCAGCAGCAGCTCGCGGCCCAGCACCTCGTTGCCGTGCGCCCCCGCGATGTAGTGGAACTCGGGCTCCCCTGGACGCAGAGACGGGAAAGAGACGGGTTCCGGTCACACCGGCAGCCAAGCAGCGCCCGTCCCTTGGTGCTGGGACAAGAGGCCTCCTGAACAGTATGCACTCACAGGCTTAGCCCCATCAGTTCTTTCCAGCGAACCTCCCAAATCTCATCAGTATCATTTCCATTCCCCAGCAGGTGACTAAGAAAATGTGCAGAAAACCCCCGGATGACACCAACCCCTGGGCGATAACGTTCATCCCTATTCGGCAAGAAGAGACGCAGGAGTGTTGTGCTGAGGCTTTCAATCCACAAACGGAACACGAGCCACAGAAATTACTTTTCTGTCTGGGGAGGCAATTCTTTTTCTTAAAAGAACTTCTTATTAAGTTTCACAAGGACACAAAGATGAATAAACACCAGCAGAAGGCAAGTCCAGCAGGGCAAGTCAGCGAGGCACGCTTTTGGACATTTTGGAAAGGGCTGAGTTTGAGTGTTTTCTCGTCCAAGCTCCGCCTCTCCAGGGCGGGACGCAGACAGACAACCCCTCCCCGCTCGCTGCCAAGGCGCTGCCTTTGAGGCGACGGGATTTTACGAGTGGATGAGCCCTTCGCCGGACACTCCTGGGAGGAAGTCCAGAAACACCGGTGAGCGTTCAAGTGGGACGAATCAGACAAATCTCTGCATTGAAATATCAGGGGGCCCCTCAAGCACTCACAGATTTACCAGGAAGAAAACCAGGGAGGCCCCTCGGACTTGGAGGGGGACATGGGCTCCCAGTGCCTAACGGGAAATGGCTGGGAATAGGAAACGCTTGGAAAGAATTAGGGACCTCCTCTCACTTGAGCCTCTAATGACCAGGGAGTCCAGAATTTTCTCCCAGAGAAGGACCCTGTCCTACCCGTCTCTGGCCGCCTTTTCTTTGGTTAGTGCGCCTGGTCTCAGAACAGGATTAAAAACAGGAGAACGGAATTGAAAACGGTCCGTCTGGAGAGAAGGAGGGCACCTCTCGCTTAAGTGAGCCAACAGCCCACATGGTAAGGCGAGAGGCTCACGGACGAACTACAGAATCTCAGTGAGCGCGGTGCGTGGGCACCTCCTGCCCTGGTCACACGTGCTCTCGCAGGGCCGACCGGCAACTTCGCTGGAGGAAGGCACCAAGTGTGAAGGGACACATGCGCGTCCCGGGGGGCCGCCTCACCGACTTCGTGCTCCCCGGGGTGGTCGGAGATCTCCACCGCGTACAGCTTCAGGCCCTGGTGGCTCTTGCCGATGTTGTAAATCCTGGTGATGTTGGGGCACATCTCATTCACGACCTTCATTAGCTGGAAAACACAGCGGACCAGGGACCTAAGCAGGGACGGCTGCCCACTCCAGGGGGCGGAGCTTCCCACAGGCAGACACGCCTCCCACGCCCCACCCCCACACACACTCCCACTGTCCACGCCGCCTGCAATGTCCTCCTTGGGCCCCCTCTGCCCTGCCCTCCGTCCCAGCACCCCTTGGCTGTGGTCATCACTGTCCTCACCTCCCCGGGTGGCAGCATCACCTCCTCTGGCTGTGACTCTCACCTTTTCACTACTTTTCTCCTTTCTTTTGTCCCCTCGCTGGACTGCAGATCCTTTAAGGGATGGGCTGAGCCTTTCATCTCTATATCCCCGCCTAGGTGCATGTTTACTACCAAATATCAGTGTCCCCCCCAACACAATGAGCGTCTGGGACGTTCGTTGGGCTGAGGAGACAGACGCCGCCCTGCCCCTGGAGCTCCCAGTGCAGTGGTGGGAGGAGGGGGAGTCACACAAGGACCCACGTCGTGGGTGCCATTAGAGGGCGGGGCAAGCAGGCTTCCACGAGGGAGAGAAACACAAGTGCGTTGTTTTCTGAATTTTAGCATCGGCTCATCAGACGGACAGCTGCCGCTGCAGGCGGGGCCAGGCTGCAAGGCGGTAAGGTGGGCTCTGCCGGTTGCAGGGCACCAGCGGCCCTTGGGGGACAGGGAGGACAGAGACACCCTCTCCTGAGGCTGCCTCACCTCGCATCTCTGAGTGAGGACCTGTGAGTGGCCCGTTACATGGTCTGGAGGTGCTGAGTGACAGACCAGCCCCGCCCCTGGAGGGGGCAAGAGCAATGGCCCGATCCCCAGCCTTGTGTTAATGACGGGGGCAGGGGGTGAGCTCAGATGCCGTAGAAGCATCGAGGAAGGACAGCCCTGCCAGGGAAGTGAGCAGGCAGGTGCCCACCAGAGAGGGCTTTGTCCTCCAGAAAGAGGACAGAAGCTGGGTTGCTGGTGGCCCGAGGACGGCGTGGCCCACAGGGACGGCGTGGTCCACAGGGACGGCGTGGACCTGGATGTGCTCAAACCATCTTTCAAAAAATCCTCCATCAGCCGAATTAGCCATCAAATGTCTTTGTAAATTGCAAATAAACACATCTGGTGCAAGTTGACGGTGGGTAACATCTGTGAAGACCGGAGAATCGGTAGTGTGTGGAATTCACGATGTGGTGGAGTGATACCACGGAGCGCTTCGTCGGCCTTTCGTAATACAGGATCCCGCGCTCCAGGAGCGCCAGCAAGCCTTTCTCCGGGCACGGAGGGATTCCCGGCCGGCGAGGCTCTGTCCCGGGACACGTCTACGAGGGGCCCCAGGTGCAGTCGTGGTGAGGAGCGCGGGGTCTGATTCCTTCCTGGGGCAAAGCTGCCTCCCTGTCTAACAACTCCCTTTGTGTTGCAATGTCCCGGTGAGAGAGAGAGAGAGCTGACTCCGAAGGACTCTTGTCCACAAGAGGGCACGGGCAGAAACCCCTCCGCCCGTGGAGGAAGGGCACAAAGGGAAAGGCAGCTTCTACATCCGTCACCACCAGCGACACCGGGCACAGGTGGGAAGGGAGCCACGTGTGAGATGTGGCGCATTTTAACGAGCGACACGTAAGAGTGTCAGCAAGAATGTCAACAGTTGCAGTAAGAAGGTGTTCTGTTTCTGTCGATTGCTGCAAGAATGCCTTGCTTGTATTTCTCCACTGAATCTCACGTGTGGCCACCAGATGGCTGTCCCCATTGCACAGATGAGGAGACGGAGGCTGAGAGATGCACTGAGTGATTCTCCCAGGGTGCCCCTGCTGGTTCCCAGGGGAGCCAGGGCTTCTGGGGGCCCTTCCCTGTCTGCGAAGCTGCAGCAAAGCAAGGAAAAGCGGCACACTGCGACCCTCCTGCATGCAAGGTGGCCACAGCACAGCTGCCATCTGGTCTGGGGCCCCGTGCACTGGTCCCTACTGACTGCATTCTCTGCTTCCAGCATCGACCTCAGCTTCCCTGACCAGCGAGAGAGGTGCCGTCGGGCCTTCGGGCCCGTCACAGCGCTGCAGACACACAGCCACTTGGCTCGCCCTGAGCTGGGCAGTGAATGCGCGTACTCCGCTCGGAGCCTGGCTGGCACTCCATGCCGACCCCGCCCCCTCTCATGCTGCTGCTGCTGCTGCTGCTGCAGATGTGCCCCTGTGTCAGAGGTCATGACCTTGACGTAGGAGAAAGGCAAAAACCGTCTTCCCTCGGACAGGCTCTCAGCCATGAGTCGTCAGTCCCCTCTGTCCACCCTACCCACGGGCCAGTGTCACCAAACCAGCCACGTGTTCCCTCTTCGGGTTGTGGCGACACAGTGCATTATTGTGTTGTCACGAGCGCCTTTTCTGCACACGAGGATGAGAACACTGGCAGCCGAAGAACCTTTTTTACAAGGTTCATGACGGCTCTCTGCACCGTGGCCTGCTGAGGCTTCCCCGGTGGCTGGCGCGTCTGCAGAGCCCCGGGTGTGGATCCACCGTGCTTGTTCCCAGAAACAGTCAAAGACGATTTTTTGGAGTTTGGGTCTTGATGCGTCTTGGTCTTGCGAGGAAGGACTAGAGTGTCTTCACGGCCTCGGAACACTGGTTTTCAACCTCTTTCATCTCAAGACACATTACCTACTAAAATTCCGTGGCACACCAAAAACATATTTTTTGTCAATCAGGCAAAAAAAAATAGGTATAATGTTGATTCATTCACACTGGACAGCTATGGCTGTGTTGGCTGTTGCCATTGTTTAATTGGACAGTCTTAGGGAAAGGAGGTCAGGGCCCCTGAGTAAACAGTCGGGTACCGCGTGCTTTAAATTCTGGAGGCGCCCCGCTGAAAATAGCTGCCTGGGGGCACGCCTTCTCCCTGGGGTGCTGTCACCTCCAAGGAGGCAGAAATTGGCTCTTGAGGACTAAAAGTCTCAGGGGTGATGATGCTCTGTGGCCTTCCACAGCTCAGCCCTGCTCAACACAATCACGGGGGAGGGAGGATAATTACTGAAAGTGTGTCAATAGCCCGCTGAGGGGGGCACTAAGGAAACCGGGTGGAGAAGAGAACCCAGGTGAGCGAGACCCCACATCCTCGCCTCCGCGATGGGAACGAACTCCGAGTCCGTGTGCCTCCTGAGTTCCGGGCTCTGTGGCCTCCCTCCTCTCCTGGAGGACGGGGGAAGAAATAGCCCCCTTTGCTGGTAACCCAGTTTCTAGCCATAGGTCAGAAGGAGACCGTTGATATAGTTAGTAAAGCGACGTGCGTGGTGACAGGTGCTGTGGCGTCTCATTCGGTCCGGGGGCTGCCCACGTGCTCCGGAGCGGGAAGACAGCCGAGGGACCAGTGAGGCGCGTGCTCATGGGGACACCCTCACAATGACAGTTGGGGAGACAGCGTGACACAGGGCTACGGGTCCCGGGTTAACGGAGAAAAGCGGGGCAAGGTCACAACCGCCCTCTAAACAAACTCGTGTGGAAGCCGTGACCGTGGAGATGCAAACGCTGGGCAGAAACTGGGGGACGTGGAACCCGCCGGTTCTTGAGGTCAGGGAGTTCGTGGACGACTAACTTGCAGACTTGTGGTTTGCTCTTGATGTTGATAGACTGTTGTTTCCCCAATGAGTTAAAACATTAAAAAGGGAAAAAGAGAGAGTCCTCTTCCACCATCTTCGCTCCTCTGTCCGAGAAACAAGCACTGCCCCTGATGGAGTGGAAGAGGAATTCCCGAGCGAGGGAGGAGGGAGAGAAACACAGGAAGAGAGGCACCCACGGGTGGGGACTGGGAGCATGTTGGTCTGGGTCTGCGGGCCTGCCGCGGAGCCCTGGCTACCTGACGTCACCACCACCACCCGGGGGCAGCCCCAGCCCCTCCACTTGCAGGTCACCCCCCGCCTCCCACCCCCCGGTCCTCAGCCCGAGGCCCCAGCCGTCCTCTGCTGCCCCAGGAATCCACACGGCTAGCTGGCTGCACTCCAGCTCCTGTCTCCACGGACTCCTTTCCAGCGCAGCACACGCCACCCACCAGCCGGAACTTTCCAAGTTTGTGGAACCTGGCAACCCTGGGCTCCACACCAAAGTCAAAGCAACCTTTTCCTCAAAACCGCCTCTCTTCCTCCCTTTGTGGATGGCACCCCCCCCCCCCGGGAAGCATGCCAGTGTCCCCTCTCTCCCCAGCTCACTCCCACAGCTGCCCTAGGACTAGCTGGTCGACCTCAGGAATGCCTCCCCCCCAACTGCCTCCCGGGGCTGTCCCCCTCCTGGGGACTGACCGGTGTCCACCGGACTGCCCTCCGTACAACTTCCAGACTGACCTCCCCGAGCTCTGATCTGGTGGAAACCATCTCTGGTGCTCAGACTCCGAGCAGCCGCCTCCCCCAGCACGCGGGCGGACCGCGCTCCCAGCAGCCAGCCCACTATTCCAGAGACACGCCGTCTGTCGCTAGAATGATGGCTCTTGCTTGGCCCTTGCTGCCCTCACTGCTCGGAGCCCCCCGGTCGGTGTCTGCCTGCGCAGGCCTGGCCCGCCCCATCCCCATCAAAGCCCCCCTCCCCAACCATAGCCAACCAGGCCAGCCTCTTCTCCCTCCTGCTCCCCACGTATCTGCCCTGAGAGGACCTCAAGCAGACATCCACCGAGCACGCATTATGAGTTTATGATAAAATGAGTCTCTGGCTTGGTGGCCCCAAAGGCAGGAGACACGAGGTACAAGCGGACAAGCACATGCTAAGCAACTGTACATGGGACCCGTGCCGTGAAGGCCTTCAGCTCTCCGGGAATAGTTAACTCCTTCTCCCTCGGGGACGAGTGTCTGGGCAGCGTCCTCGTCTCCCCCCGCCCCTCCACTCCCTGCACCTGGGGAGGACAGGGCCCTCCAGGTCACCGCTCTGGAGACCCTCCTGCCCACGGAGGCACAGCGTTCTCGGGACGTTCCCTCCCCCGGCGGTGCCTTTTCCTATGTTTCCCTCCGTCTTCCTGCCCCCGCTGCTGCTTCTCATTTTTTGTTTGTTATGAATGTCTCTCTCAACTCTAGGATAAACTATCTTGTTTTTTTCCCTCGAAGTCGAAAGCCTCCTACAGTAACCTAGCAGACTCCAAATGGGAGGCTGCTGAAAATGCTGGCTGCTCTCCTGTCCCCTGGGAGCCAGGGGCCCAGGGGCAGACCGCCGCCCCCCCCCCCACTGAACACCCTGCAGGATGGACGGACGCTCACGGCTGAGGGCTGCTGGGCCCTGTGGCCTCGGAGGGTCACCCACCGTCACCGGGGTGGTCGGGGGGGGCGGGGGAGGGGGCACCGGCCACACCGAGGTTTCCCTCAGCTCCAATGTCCAGTGAAAATGGTGCCCGGAGTTGCGTGGGGGAGGACCCACAGCCCCCATCTCTTCTTCCGGGAGCAGAGCCCCAGCTCTGCATGTGGGACGACTATTTAAGGACACCCGCCACCTGGACAGACTCTGTGCAGTTGGCTCATTCTGAAGCGCATGTAGAGTTATTGCTTTTGACATTAATTGCACCGAGTTGACGTTTGTCTAACTCCTGGGCCCGAAGGACGTCCTCAGATGTGCAGTGAGCGAAGCTGAGCTAACACGCGAGTGCTCCGTGCAGCGGAGCAGCGAGCAGAGCCGTGTCAACACCCCGGAGTGGAGGGCGGCAGGCTGACTCACCGGCCTCAAGTCCTAACGCATTGCCCTGATTTCTGAAGAGCGAGACAGCAAGACAATCCCTTTGGCACATCCCACCTCCAAGTCCGTGCTGACAGGTGTCTGGAAGCTGTGTGCGTGTCTCCAGTGAAATGACACGGAGACAGACCGGTTCGCCGCCTCCCTCGGATGAGCCAGAGAGCCCTCTGGGCTCAACCTAATTGCTCCTGAGCTTGCACGGGGCAGCTGGGTCCTTTCCTCAGCGCCCGGGAGGCCGTGCTTGGAGCCATGTTGGTTTGGCCTCCGTGAATCCTTGTCCTGTAAATGTATTCATGAGGGCACTTCTCTGTTCGTTCTCTTTCTTGGAACAGATTCTTTGATACCTAAGGCTGTCTCGTTTGCCGGCACCCACCCTCCCCTCCCCCGCACTTTTCGGAGCCGCGCTGGGAGCAGGCCCTGGACAGGAGTTCGGAGGCAGAGCATCGAGGATGGGGACTGCTCCTTCAGCCCGTTCCCGTGAACGTCTGGTCCCTCCTCCCCCCGCACCCAGCATGCATGCGCCCACCAGAGCTCAGAAGCCCTCGGCTCCCGTGGTGAAGCTGCGGGCATTTATTTGGGGTTGCCGTTCCCTCCTCACAGTGCGCAAGGACTCAGGGCCGCGAGGGTGTCAGCCAGGGGCACTGGAGCTGGAGCCGAGCTGCACACCAGCATCGTAAGGAGAGCTTTAACGTATTTAGATCCCCTGAGCCCTTCTGCTGAAGATTCTGCTTTAACTGGCCCCGAGGAGGGGCTCAAGTGCAGGCATTTTTCCAGTGTCCCCAGGTGGTTTCGATGTGCAGCGAAGATCGAGAATCTGACCATCTGAACAACAAAGGGCGGGGTTGTGAATGCTCAGCGACCCAGTGTCCCCATCAGGAGGGTAGGGATAACGAGCCCCCCTCCCCCCCCAGGCTGGGTGGGAGCACCAACCACGGCGACACAGGCGGTGAAGGGAAGTCCGCACGGGTCCCACGGGAGGGCGTCCTGCCATCGCCGCCACCGCCGTCACTCTAGAGCCCCTTCCTCCTGGACGCCGCGTACGACCGGCGACCTCAGACCCGGGAAGCGCTCAGACACGCAGGGATGCTTGGGGACTAGAGCACCAAGTCAGACACGTCCGGGGTCGGATTCTATTCCCACCGTCTGCTGGCGGGGGAGGGAGCCTCACCCCGGCCACGTGCCTTCTCGCAGTCCCCACCTCGAAACCACAAGCGCTTCGTGTGGCTTCGGCAAACCGAAGGGACCGTCCGGACCCTGTCCCTAACACAGCATCCTCGTTTCCGGAGGTCAACACCTGTGTGCTTCCCGCCGGACACGCGGCCCGGGGCGCTCCACGCGGCCGGGCCTCACCTGGCGCATCTCCCTGTAGTTGTGGTGTCTGAAGTCCAGGTTGTCGGTGGTGGTCATCTCGTTCCGCCGGTGGTAGTAGTTGTTCGGGTCTAGGGAGAGAGACGCGGTTTTGAATTCATGGGCATCACTCGCTTCCTTGTGGCGGCGCTACCGGGCGCCTGGCTCACGTGGGGACACAGCCCAATCCCCAGCTTCTAACATCCCCACGGAGGCGGGAGAGACAACTTTCTAGAAGCTTCCTATGAGTCAGAATTACCCAGTGATGGCGAGTGTGGGCCCGGACCAGGATGCCTGGGCTCCAATCTCTGCTTTTCCAGTTACGTGCTGCGTGGCCCCTGGGCACATCACTGGAGAGAGTCTTTGCCTTAGTTTCTTCCCGCATAAACAGAAACACACCAGCACCTCTCCCATCGATTCATTGCTGGTATTAGTTGGAATGATCTGGGTGTCTGGCAAACTCAGGACTGACTGACTGAATGAAGGAATGCCACACCGCACGCATAAATGGAAATGTTTGGAAGTCTGCCGCACACTGCTAGTTGCTTGCCCAGCCACCAGCCCACTGCCTCCCTTCCTCGCAGAAGCCTGTGGCCTTTGGGAGCCCCCTTCCCCACTTCTCGGAAACATACCGCCGCCCCAGCAGCAGGGGTCCAACGTGACGGGTCTAAGCCAATCAGAGCACAGCATCCCCTGGCCACTCTTACCGGTCCAGACAGAAGGAAAGGACTTTAATGTCACAGAGGAGGAGAGAGTGAGAATCCTCCCGGGACAGGACAGAGAGAACCCCAATAATGTCAGGAGCTGATGAGTGACCCAGCCCTGGAGGCTAGCGGTCCTTGGGACTTCCACTCACACGAGACAAAGACTCCTTCACCCGTTAGCCGGGGCAGCTGGGGTCTGTGACTGGGTGGAAGCACCCAGGAGGGGTAACCAGGAGGCATTAACAGGGGTCCCCCCTGGGGCCTGGGATTCGGGGTCTGCGGAGGACATGGCTGCCCTTGACTTAATTCCCCTCCATATAAATGGACTCTATTTCCTTTCGTGCTTCTGACGATATAAGCATGCATTGTTTATATGATTACAAAACAAAGAACACTGAGCAGAAAGGAGAGACAGGGAGGAAGGAGCCGGAGGAGAAGGAGAAGGGACTACTCAGTGGGCCCTGAGGTCTTTCTCCCGACCTGACACAAAGTAGCAAGAAGAATAGACCCTCGGCTAGCCCGGTGTCGTCTCCACCTGGGGGACTCGGCCAGAAACCCCGGCCAGCTCTGATCTCCCTCCCACCAGAGAGAACACGATGCTTTATTGATTGATTGATTTGAGAGAGAGAGAGAGAGAGAGAAACATCTATGTGTTGTTTCACTTATTCATGCATTCATTGGTTGATTCTTGCATGTGCCCTGACCGGGGATCGAACCTGCAACCTTGGCACATTGGGACGATGCTCTAACCAACTGAGCTACCCAGCCAGGGCCAGAAGACAGTGATTAACGCAGGTCAATGTGCTAGCCCGGGAACCACGCAAGCCAAGGTTGGAACTCAGCAGGCGTGGGTTGCATCCCAGTAGCTGGAAGGGTGAGTCTGGAGGCGGAGGCAGTGGCAGGCGATGCTCCCGGTGGCATCAGGAGCCGTGAGTCCTGATTCCTGCCCCCAAGTGTGGTCCACAGAGCGGCGGTATGGCTGCCGGTGGGACCCAGCCCAGACCTACTGAACCAGAGTCTGCATTTTCAAAAATCCCCTGTGACTTCGCAGGCTCAGAGGGTTGAGAAGTGCCATGTGAACGGACTGAGCGCTCTGCCGGCAGGAACGAGGTACGCAGTGCGCCAAGCACGCATCTGCGGTCGCCTGAGCCAGCCACACGCCTGTGTCCCCACGGCCGCGGGTCAGGACCGACTTCACTCCTGAAATCGAGGCCTCACGCATTGAGCTGAAAATCACATACAGGCCCCGACAATAAAAAGACAGTTTTTCATGCTCACAGAAGGTTCGCCAGTAATGCTATTAGAAACGAATGGCTGTCATTAAAGAGAAATCATGTGGGAGGGCCAGCTGGCACTTTGTCCAGAAAAGAAAGCAAAAGCAATTCAGTTGGAGCCAAAAGCCTCCCTCCCCCCAACCCCCATTACTTTTCAAGGCTGTCCTTCGGGGACCGCAGGCTGACCCCACCCTCAGGCAAGTTGCCTTTCCTTTGAGTTCCAAACCTCCGGGTTTCAAAGCGAAGGCACGGCGTATTTTTCACATTAATTTACACTTAACGTACAGACGTGCTGTGTTCTAAGAGCCATTCAACGCCCCGAGTCCCAGGGGCCTCTTTCCAAAACTCCGTGAAGCCTCCTTTGTCTCTGTGAACACAGGTTATGCCTCCACGGTTCTTAGGAGGGGCCGAAGAAAATCCCAGAACTCTACAGAAGGGCCCCACGCTGGGCCCCGTCCTGCCAGCCTCAAGATGAATCCATTTGCCTAAACACATGGGCACAGATCTCAGCGCCGCCTCAACAACACAGTGAGCATTTTTCCACCACTTCCTGCCTCCCATGTTTTGAGCAAGTCCTTCTCTGCTCGTCCGTTTCTTCTGATCGGATCCAGCGTTTTACTGGGAACCTGTTGGGAGCCCAGCACTGCGGGGAAGCAGGTGAGTGAGGACCGAGCCAGGCCCTCCTGGGGCCGGACTTTCTAGCATGCTCTTGTCTTGCAAACCGGAAGCTCTGTGCCCGATCACGCAACACCCCTCATTCCCTCTACCTCTGAGCTGTGAGAACCCTGTCGATAGACCATGGTATAGGGCACTTCAGCTTCCAGTGCAGAAATCTCTGGAAACGCTATTCCAGAAGTCTTAAAAAGAATCAGGACTTCCTCTGTCCGCACCCAAGAGTCCCCAGGATGTGAGGTGAGGGATGGAAGGACAGAACCAGGAGAAGCAGAAGCAAAGGTAAGTGAATTCCTTGCACACGAGAGTTCCGGGAAGGTGAGGCTCTGGGGACTGCATTTAGACCACGCGGCGATGTCAGGTGTGAGTGGCCGCGTCGGCTGGGCCGTCCGTCCTTGCCTTTGGCCTGGCTACCTTGCACAAATGGACTGTGCCGACCATGTGGGGGCGGGGGGGGGCCTGTGTACCCCCTGGGCCCTAGGAGATGACCACCAGGGGCAGCGTGTGTCAAGGCCTGCTCCCCTCTGGGCAGACTGCGAGGTAGCTTCTAGAGGAAAAGTGGCCCTAAGTGTCTGGGGCTGGAAAACAGAGCCATTCCGGCTTGTCCTTGAAAACCCTCAGATTTCACATCGTCACCCCAGCTCTGTCTTTGCGGGGCTTAAATGGCCTCCAGGGCCTGACTTCAAGCACACACACACCCCCCCCAAGAATAACGTCACAGGAAAATGGTTGTTATGTTGATCAGGGACTCTCAAGGCTGCCCTTTGCCCTCCCAACAGCAGATGGACTCTTGCGCACAGCGAGAAACCAGGACCCGCTCTTTGAAGCAAGCAGACGGAGGCCGTGCCGAGAGGCACGGAGGGCAAGCCCGCTGGCCTGGTGCAGAGAAGGCCCCGCAGACGCCTGCCCACACCTGGGCCTCACGCGCCGTGTGCTCGGGACAGCCCGCAGGCCCCGGGCAGCCGCAGGTGGGACCCGGGACTGCAATTCCGGGAAGAGTCAGCCCCCAAAGCAGGCCCAGACGGAAGACCAGAGAGGCGTCCGGCATTCTCCTGCGTCGGCCTTGAAGACGCATGCGCCCTGCACACCAGCGATCCCACTTTCCGTCATCGAATTTAACTGTGACCCTATAACTGAATCGTCCTATAAGTCATACAATAACCCCAGACACGCACAAAGACACAGAAACGAAGATGTTCACCGTGGGATTCTTTGTAGAATCAAAATACTGGGAACCACCACTGAACGTCCAGCTCTAAACAGCAGACTAAAAACACACCCGTCTGCCCATGAGCCAGGACAAAGGCATCCACCAGACGGATGGTCCCTGCCAGCGCCAACGACACGAGACAAGTTCTGTGATCAGTACGTACGGACACACCACAGAGTGCCCGTCTGGCGTGCGGCGGGCAGGCGGGCAGAGAGAGACCCATCCTTCCCACCAGTACGGAGACTCTGTTCCCGAACTTCAGAGTGGGCAAAGCAAGATCGGGAGCTTTAGGGGATGGAGAGACAAGCCGTAAGTGACGTTAAATACACTTTGAAAGTGCCGTCAAGCGGGTGAATGGTGGGGGATGGGACGCCTGTGGGGACAGCATGGTGGGGATGTGCGGACACCAGAGTGGGCGGTGCCCTTCACGCCCCCCCCCAACCCCCCGGCAGTGCTGGAGGGACGGGAAGCCCCAGGGAGCACGGCCGGGTCTCACGCCGCACCAGACTGGGACGAGAGGAGACGTAACCCCAGTCGGCGCCCCTTCTTGCCTGTGGCCTGGCCGGAGTGGGCAGGGACGTGCAAATTCCGACGGGTCCCAAGGAAGGGCCTTCGGGATGTTCCGGGGGCCAGGTGCCTGGAGACGCCCGGCGGTCAGGAGGAGGAGGCTGCCGCCTACAGACCCCACATGGGCACAGATGCAAGGCCAGGCAGGGCCCGCCAGGGGCCGGACCAGATCAGCCTGTCCAGAGCAGACCCAGCGAGGACCCAGGCGGCCCTCGGGAAGGCAAGCCCCTCCTTTCTGCCGCCCTGAGGTCACGGCAGGACCCCTCTGTGTGACCATGGAGCCGCCCTTTGGGAACGGGGGTCTCCTTTTCACTGCGTCCTTCAACGACCTACTGACGGACAAGCGGGGAGGGACGATGGTTGAGAACTTGATCACCGAGGGACCCAAGGGTCAGCGGCTCCCTCATCCCAAGGGAATACACTTCCACCCCAGGACCCAGCCCGCCACGCGCAGCTCCTCACGTGGGAAGACACGGAGTGCATGGTCAAGTTTAAAATTAACTCCTACCACTTCCCCCGCCCAGTGCGGCAGGCACACTCAAGGACATTTAAATGTGCCACCGCGTGCGTGTGGGCGGTAGCGCGGAGTGAATGTTCAACCTTGAAATAGGCACCATCTTCAAATCCCAGCGGGCAAGCCAGAGCTGGCGTGTTACTGCGAGGCCCCGATCGCTCACGGGGTGTTTCAGAGTGGGAGGACGGGAGGTCTGTGTTTATTTTTCTTTTGGCTGACCCATGTGTTCTAAATATTTTGCCGTAGATGTGAGTCTCTTTTTACCGCGAGGACGAGCCCGCCTGGCTTCTCCCCACCGGCCCTGGCGAGGCCCCGGCAGGAACGGGGGGCAGGAACGGGGGGCGGGAACGGGGCGGGGGGGACCCACCTGGCAGCGGGCAGCCGAGCACCTCCATCCGCAGGCAGACGCTGCCGCCATCGAACCAGGACTGCGGGTTCACGCGGATGTAGCGGGCCACCATGGGGACCGGCAGCTCGTTGAGGACAGGGATCTCCTTTTCACTGTTGCCCTCGAATATCTGCAGACACGCACAGGGGGAAGGGGGGGGGTCAGAGAGTCCGTGATTCACGCGGCGGGGTGCCGCTTGCGTGCTGGGCACGGAGGAGGAAGAAGAACCAACTCGGGCCTGGCGCCTGCTCCCAGGAAGCCCCCCCCCACCTTGGGGGTGAGGGGTCCTACGGAGACATCACAGGTGAAACTGATGGGTAACATGGCAAAGGACAGTCACAGAGCTCTGGGTCTCCAGGGGGGAAGGACCAGGCAAAGCTTCAGGGAGGAGGGGCCGTGGGAATGGGCCTTGGGGGCCAGCTACTCGGGTCTGTAGGGATGGGAAAGGTTTTAAAGAACAGCAGAGGTGTCTGGAGGGGCCCGGGATGGGGTGTACAGGCGGCAGACCCACTGCGCTCTGGAACGTGGGGATGTGGGGGCGGGGTGAGAACGGGAAAGATGGTTGAAAACAGAGGCTACAGTCAGAGGGAGCAGGACTCCGGAGACGGCGTCAGGAGCAAGCCCTTGAGAACCTGAGGAGGGGGGAACGTGATGAGAACTGGCCACCCTGGGGGAAATCCTGGAGCTGACAATCGAGGCCGTGACAGTGAGGCAGGGGACTGCCATCACTGAACGGCTGTGAGGTGCCGCCCATCCTTTGAGGGCCACACGACCTCCAGGGTTGACCTGGGACCCGTGGGACAGACTGTCCCCCAGCAGCTCTGAATTTTACGCGAGCCCTGAATGCAGGCCCCTTGGTGCTGCGCTGCCGGGCACGGAAGGGGGTGGTCATTCTCCACGAGACTCTGAGGTCGGTTTGCGTTGACGTGAAATCGGCAAACGCCCCGGGACCAGCACTCACTGGGTGCTCACAACCTGTCCCTGCGGAGCCCACACCGCCAGGCACCCAGGTGGAAGGAAGAAGAGAAACTCACCATGTCTCCAGATCCATTCTTAACGGTGACCCACGTGTGGCTGTCATTGCTCACCATGACCTTGTAGGAGGTCACCCAGTCACTCCTACGAGGAAAGAAAACATCGATGGGACCACACACTGTAAAAGTCTGACCTCTTCCATGTAGACGGGCAGCAGTGCACAAGGTAGGCTGCCCCTCGCCGTGGCCTGGGCCTGGGCCACAGTGCATTCCTATACATGGAAACCATAACAGAGCTTTCTGCAGAAGGCTATCACATAAAAATGCAGAGCAGGCTTTCCGTGGACTAAAACAAAGAATAAAGTACTGAGCTTCAATAATGAACATGAGTGCTGAATGGTTAGTGCTCTTTAAACACTTAGAACAGCTCCCGGGCCCTAGCAAGCACGAAATGTTGGCCACACCCGAGAGGACGGACCAGCGGGTAGATACCTGTTCATGGTGGACATCGGTGCCACACACGGTGGCAGTTTAATAGAGTCACACGCGGAAAACTAACCTCAGTAGAAGTTGCGAGCTGGGCTACAAGGCTCATTTGTAAAACTGATTCGGGAAGCTAACCAAATGAGAGCCCAGCAACCAATGACAGCCCGAGTCTCTAAGGGACACTGGGTTTCTCCTTGGCCGCCGCAGCCACGTAGTCCAGCCCCTGCCCCAGCGACAATCCAGTGACAGCTGGGTCGGGAGCTAGACCCCTGCGCAGAAGTGACAGGGCACGACGCCCTGACCTGACTTCCCAGAGCGGACCTCCATGTGACGGGCTTGTCTGTCTAGACAACCTTCCTGTGAAAAACACTGTCTTCCCTCTGCCCCCGCTTCTTGTAACATTAATCGTCATGCAATACGGAAAAGTCTCACCGAGCATCATCCTTTTTAATTTTTAAAATATTCAACCGCAGCGCAATTCACTGATCTCCCAGGACATTCCGCCAGCGGACCCGTGTGGCATCCTTTCCGGGCTGCAACATGTCAGATTCGGGATGCAGCTGAGCCCCAGTGAGTTCGGAGTTTCTGGTCTGAACCGCCTGTCTGGTTAAATGTATTGAGGAGGAGTGGCAGGTTCTACTCGTTCTGGTCCATCTGGCTGACTCGTCACCAAAAAACTATTCTTCGGCACGTCCACGCATCTGGAAACACACCCTCACCCCGAACCCTCTCCTCTGCTCCTCCCTCCCGCCCCCCGGCTCTGGCTGATGCCCGCCGGCAGCTGGACTCTACCCACCACCACGCCCCTGCTTGGAGGGGCCCACCTCTGCAGACTCGGACGCAGTAAGCATGCCTTTCGAAAGGGCACCTCGGTGACAGCTCATGTCCTCTGCACCGAGAATTGTCCTCACCCAAAATAGCAACCTGGTCCCCACGCTCAAGTCGTTTCCAAGCGGCACGCACCTGCCGCTGCGTTTGCCGCTCACCTGCGGCTCGGGCCCCACAGGGACGCCGGGAGCTGAGCCCACGGACAGTGAGGTGGGGCGGAAAGGACCATGTAGTAAGTTCTCCAAAGGGAAGCCGAGAGAGGAAAGGCAACAAAGACTAAGTCACAGCCACACGGACTTAAAGAGGACACACGGACAAATCCTCAACTGAGTTTAGGGGACGGTTCCCCGCTTACTGGCTCGGACCCTGCTCCGGACTGCAGACCTGCGGCCCGGCCTCGGGCCCTTCCGCCTCACCGCTCAGCGTGTCAGTGACCTTGCAAAGGGAACCCGCCCCACACCCGCGGATTCATTTCACACCAGCCGGTCCCTGCCTCAGGAGAGGAACCGCCGTCCACCCACCCACGGGGACCAAGATCCAGGAGTCATCCTTGGCACCCCACGCTCCCTCCCTCCCCAGTGTTGAATTCGTCACCCAGTTCTGTCAGTTTTACCTCCCACCTTGTCTTAGGATGTATCCAACTCTCTCCGCCTTCACCGCCCCCCCACTCCCGGCCCGGCCCATTTTTCCTATTACAGTTGCTGCTGACCATGGGTCTCCTGGCGTTCAAGTGCATCCAGCGGCCAGAGGCTCACTTTTCTAGTGAAATGTTAGGTCATCCTGCTAAAACATGCCTCTTATTTCAGGATGAAGACCAAAATCCTCCTGTGTCCTACCAGACCCTCGCTGAACTCCTGTTTTCCAGGCTCTTCCTTTCCGTTCCTGATGCTGGTTATACTCTCTCTTGCCTCAGGGCCTCTGCACACACCCTTGCACTTACTTGTCCATCTGGACTCCTCTTCCTCCCCTGCGCCTGGTCTGCCTCCAAAGTAGTCAGATCTCAAACCTTAGCAGATTAGCCTGTCCTAATCCTCCAGTCTAGCCGATTTCTTGCCTATTTCCTTCTTTCAGAGTTTAGTTCCATTTGAAATTGTATACTCCTTTCTAAACTATCCGGTAGGGTCTGTGCCCACCTCTGGAGTAGAAGCACTTCACAGACAGAGGAAGGAGAGACCGCAGTCCTTTGGGGACTCCAAGGACGCTGAGGTTCCTGGAGGCCAAGGAGAGAGGGACGAGGCTGCATCCTTCCCAACATTTACGAAACAAACAGCACTTTTAAAAAATTGCTTTCAGCCCTGGCTGGTATAGCGCAGTGGATGGAGCTCGGGCTGCAAACCAAAGCACTGCAGGTTCGATTCCCAGTCAGGGCACGTGCCTGGGTTACAGGCCATGGCCCCTAGCAACCGCACATTGATGTTTCTCTCTCTCTCTTTCTCCCTCCCTTCCCCCTCTAAAAAAAAGTAAATAAAATCTTTTAAAAATTTTTTTAAAAAATTGGAAGCATTTCCCAACTATGAATTTGGCAGAACCTTGATATCAAAATCTGATGAGGACCTTACAAAAAAGCAAAATCATTGAAACACTTCTTTCATAAGCATAGACACAGGAACTCCTAAGCAGTTTATCGCCCAATGGAACCCAGGGACATATAAACAGGATAACACGTCACCACCAAGCGGGATTTATTCCAGACGCCTACGGATGGGTTAGCCACACTTGTGACCAGTCCGTATAGCTCACCACAGAAACAGAACTAGGCAGGAAAATCATATGATCCTTTTGACAGATGCAGAAAATGCACTTGAGAAAATTGGAATTTAGCCATTTGAATTTAAAAGGAAAAAAAAAACCCTCTTAAACTAGGCATCGAGAGAAACTTCCTCAACCCAGAAAAAAATATATATATCTACAAAAAAGCCGCCTGGGGAGTGCAGCCAGCCCCATGCAGCGAGGGACCCTGGGCCCAGCACCGGCTCGGTGCAGGGTCGACCGTCTTCGCGCCGGGAAAAGAGCGCCAGGCAGCGGGAGCTGCACGTTCGCCGGTTGTAACACCGGAAAGCGGTTTGAGAGAAGCTGAAGGACGCCCTGCAGAACCTTGTGGGCACAGACGCGTCGGGGGCTGGGCAACCCCCCTGCCACCCAGCAGCACGGGAAACGAACTGGTCTGGACGCTGTCTCGGAACTCTGAGTCAAGTCTGAAAAATAAAAACATTAAGTAAGGCTGTCTTCTGAGAACGCCGGGACGGCGAGTGGTAAGAGGGACTCGGAGGGGTGTCATCTCAGGACAGAGAGAGACGGCAAAGTGAGCCCATCCCGAGTCCTCCTCCTATGCCCCCTTCGCCCCTGAGGCTCCGGGTCCGAACCCTGGATGCCTGTGGACTTTGGCTCTGGCCCCGGTTGGCCAGCTACCGCGTGCGTGTCCAGAGTCCCTGCTTACGTGAGAGAGGATGAATTCAAACTTGGTTACGATGAAAACAAGCAGGAAAAAGGACTTGACGTATGGCAAACGTCCCACTGATATGCACTAGGAAAATAATTTTTAAAAAATGGTCCCGGGTCCGTTGGAAGCCCACAGAGTACACGAGGTAAATCTGGACTCCACCCAGTAGCCGACCCCAGGCGGCCCGCAGGCCCAGGCGGGACGGTAAAGCGAGGCAGCCGGCGGAGGGGACCTGGCAGGTCCGAGGGTTCAGCGGGAGCCGGTTCCCAAAGCCGCGGTCTCCGTTCACACCCAGGAGACTCCTCCAGGGAGTCCACACTCATATTGCTAGTATCTTCTCCCGTTTGTCTTCCTGTTCGTGGTCTTCGATGAAGAGAATTTCTTCATCATGGTACAGTCCAATGAAACATGCTTTTTAGTTTCCAGTGTTGGAGCCCTTTTCGATACATTTTTGCCATCTAAGATGATAAAGACATCCTCCTGTGTTTTCCAACGTTGATATGGGTCATTGTTTTTTTTCCCTCTTTTTGTGATCATCCGTGAAATGTTAATTTTGTTACTCTTTTAAAACATCGACTTTTGACTTTGTTTACTATTAGTTTCCCGTTAGACTGAACCATAGAAAACTACCATTTTTATAGATTAAAATGGTTGAATATCTGCAATTTCCTAAGGCTCGAGTTAATATTTTATAAATTTCTACTCCTCATTACGTTCTTCCTGCTTCCCTCTTAGGTTCGATTCACTGCCCTTTTTGTAGAGTTTCTTGAGATCGCTGGTTTTCCGTCTTGCTTTCTAATGTACATTTTTACGGTTTTAAAGTCCCCTCTGAACACTGCTTTAGCTACATGCCAGAAGTTTAATCTTATCTTCATTATTATTCGGTTCAAAATATAAATTTGTGCTGCGATTTCTTCTTTGATCGTGGGCTAATTAGGAGTCTACTTTTAAATCCCTGGGTACTAGATTTTCCTCTGGTTACCTTTTTATTTCTGATTTTTATTTTAATTCCATTGTGGACAGAGGACATACTCTGAATCACGTCCGTCCCTGGACTTTTGCTGGGACTTCGTCTGTGGCTCAGCCTTCGGTCCATCTCGGCTCCTGTGCCACGTGCCCCTGAAAACAGTGTCAGTCCTGGACTCACTGTGTGCGATGTTCCACGCATGTTATTTCGATCAGATGTGTTCATTGGGTTCCGATCGTCTGCATGTTCAATGATTTTCTGCCTGCGTATTCTACCTACCCTGAGATTGCTGGTCTGAAACATGGCCGCCTGGGGACGTTGGCTACATACAACGCCCACGGGCAGTATTGTAGAAGAGATGCATACAAGAACAGCAGTCAGACTGTGACTCCGTCTGCCTCTCCTTCTAAGTCTCTCAAACTTT